ACGATTCGCGTCCCCCAACCCTCCCCCGGTCCTCAGCCTGTCGATGTAACCCTCACCCCTCACGTTTCATTTCGTCTAACGAAGGGTTTGAAGTAAACAACTTGAAGGTTCACGAGTACACCACGGTTTTTCCGACGAGTCTTTCTTATTCATTATATAATCTCGGAATGCACTATACCTCGTCTTTCCAATATTTGTCATAATATTCACTGTGTAGCAAACCAGGCTTCTGTAAACGGTACAACACTTCTGACGGAGAATACGTCTCTGAAAACACACGCATATAGTTAGTATTGAAGAAGACTTTGTCGCTATTAATCTTAAAAAAATATATATTTGATGTACTCTTTCTATAAACTAAAATTATAAGGCATAGACAATCGTTGTGCAAAATACATACTACATAAGTAGCCATTATTACCGAGCTTATTTTAGGCAGGCGACCGAAAAGAAGCACATTCGTGTCATTATTTAGGTTTTTTTGGAATAGATTGCGCGACAAACTGTACTACAATCCAACTTAATTACTCATGTGTAATTGAAAACGCACATTAGAAGTTCGGTTATCAGGTCATGAGATGGGTCAATTACGAAAAGTCTACAGCTCAATGTCGGGGCACTTGCTCCTCGACAGAAGAAAATGGTTAGTTATCCGGTGAGGGCAAATAAGCCAGAAGTGGTAGCGCCATAGGGGCCGACGAGCGCCTGCTACAGGAGATAGAACGAGAGCAGAATAGATTGATAATGACCGAGGAGAAACGGGAGGTGTCAAAAAAAACGACTCACCGGAATATCCCCTGTGCTTTTGCTCCATTCAGCCTGAGGAGTTCTTCAGTGAGGAATATTTGGATCCAGGGCAGGCGAAGGGAAGGAAACCGGCAGCCCTGTATTTTCATAATCTCCTCCAGGCTGCCACCGAAGACGCAGGGCTTTAGAAGAAAGTCCTACGGAGGGGGCAGATTAAGAAGGGGACCGGGTGTCATTTTGGCAAAGTGAAGTTAATAAGGGTGTGTGCTAGGATCAACTGGGCGGAAAATAAAAAGGTCAAAGGTAAAGAGTTATGAAGAACAGAAACAGCGCGGAGTCACGACCTGAGGCGAAATTAAAACGCAGCCACGCACGGCACAGCAGGTCAAACCGGCCGCTGAATGCGCTCATGCATTAAATTGGTTAGCCAATCAGCGCGTGTTGCAACATGGAGCACTTTTGAGGCCTTGTGTCATGAGTGTTGCCCAATCAATAGCGGCTACGCTAGACGGCCAATCAGCGTGTGGAGTTCAGCAT